GTGGTGAGCAATTGCATTGTGCATCACTTGCTTTGTATATTCTTTTATCATTATTATTATTTTCCCTTTCTTTTCTGTCCCATTAAGCTGCGTTTATCTCAACCCACAAGTTTTACTTTTTTTTCCCCCCAATTCTCTCCCCCATCCCACTGGTAAGGGAGGGAGGGAGCGAACGGCTGTGTGGTGTTTAGCTGCCTACCGAGTTAAACCACAACAGGGAAAAACTAACAAGGCCTGTTTGATCTGAACAGGCCACGTTGTAAGCTCAGAACACAGCCTAAAGCTACCAGAGCACAGGTAGGATGACAAAACCGTTTGCTTAGAGAGCTGGTTTTCCCCTGTCTGCCACTGAAACAAACAGCAGTCAACTCACAATCCTCCTGGAAACCTCCTACCAGGGAATAGGCACCATTTTGGAAAGGGCTTCTAACCTCTATGTCCTCGAAGGAAACTAGTGAGAGGAGGATCATCCAGCCGTCAGTCCCGCCAGGACAGATTTGCAATGAGGAATGGAGTGGGATTTAGCAGAACTGAACAGAAAAGTGAAACTGATGGAGTAGTGTTTTCTCTTAGACATACAGCAGATTAGGTCACATTTCTGCACATTTCTTTATCAGTGCTAACTAGTTCTGGCTCTTTCATTTTGTGCTTTACAGTTTGAGAGCTACGGAAACTTTGCCTTCTGCAGAAGTCACAAGCAAAACAGGAAACGTTGGATGCAGGACAAATACAATTCTTGGGTCTTCTGCTTTGTTACCACTCACACCCTGGAAATTGTGTGGTCGAGAGCCATTGACACATGCCTCACATGTGAGCCCCTTCTGTTTGCATTTCTCTGTTTTGCCTCACAAATACAGTGATTTTAGAGTGATGTCACTTACTGTTATTTATTGGCATTGAGCACTTTAAGCTGTCACTTGCAATACATAATGCAAAGGTGAAAGTTACTGCATAGTATCCCTGTGAGAGAGGTGTGTACTGTTGGCTGTTAAACAAGGAGAAGGTCATGGCACAGAAAGATTTAAAAGCAAAGCTGGCTCCATTGAATTGAGGGAAGATTCCTTAGATTTCATGTGGTGGGTAGATTCTTAAAGACTTGATTACACGCAAAACAAGTTTATCAGAAGATTCTGCATCTATGAGTAAAGATCCAGTTTTCTTGACTTCCAAGGCTGGGCTTTAAATAACTGCAGTATCATCCATTCTGTCTCTTCCACATCTACCTGTATGTTGTGTAGGAAAGACTAGGAGAAACTGAAAGTGCTGGAATTTTCTTTGCAAGTTTGTTTTACAATATGTATCTTTTTCAAAGTCGCACACTTCAGCTGAAGTGCAAAGCAATTGGAATTCTTTGGCATGTCACCTTTGCTTGCCTAGTGTTTATTTTGTGTTTATTCCATGCCCCCAGTGAAAATAGAACTCACAAGGAAATAAATCAGAGATTCATCAGTTTTACTGGTGTGTAAGTTCAGTGTCAATCGCCATCTAGTGTATATTTAAGACATAGCATAATTACAGAGACTGTTTTAAATCAAGGGGATAAACAGTGTCCTAAAACCACTTTGTAATTAGTGGCATTTCATTTTTGTAAGCAGGCAAAGTAAAATACAAAATTTACAGGAATCAAGAGATAGATATTTAGAAAAGGACTGGCAAGTGAAAGTTTAGAGAGGAGATATGACATTCATACATCAGCTGACAAAGTAGAGGACAAAGATTATCATGAAAAAACAGTGCACAATCTCTTTGCCCAAAAAGGGGGAACACTTACTTTAAGAATCACATAAAATAATAAACAACCTATTTATTCAAGCTGGTTTGCATTAATTTATCCAACATCACAAACTAGACAGCATCCAATACCTGGTTGTTTTTAAATGTATTTTCTTTCATTTCAGATGACTGATGCCTGTCGGTGTGCATCTGATTTTTTTCCCCACTGTCTGATAAAACATTTATTAGGAGAACATTTATTAAATCATGGATTCCTCCGTGTTTGCAGATTCTCAGGTCACCTTGCAGATTATTCCATGATGCAACAGGCTTCTTACATCTCGGATTATTTCGTATTATGACTCTCTAAACCAGTGTAAAAAGGAACTGCCAGAATATTTCAACTTGGCAAGTGATGTCTTAGATGAGTGGTCGCAACTGGACAAGGTAGTATTTTTCTTTTCATAGACATTGGAACAAATCTCAGATTATACAAATCAATTTTCCTGATGAATACTGGATAATATTAGCTGCAGAGCAGAATGCGCTATTTTTTCTTTGTCAGAAATATAGGCATCACTTTAAGAGACTAGTTGCCAGGGATTATTTGCTTAGTCTGGAGTTATTTTAGATTGAAATTAAACCTTTTAAGGATTGTCTTCTTATTTTAATGTCTTCTGTTGCATTCTAGGATGGAAGACAAGCAGCAAATCCAGCTTTTTGGTGGGTAAATGATGAAGGAGAGGAGGTGAAGTGGAGCTTTGAAGAGTTGGGATTTCTGTCTAGGAAAACAGCTAATATACTTTGTGAGGCATGTGGTTTGCAGAGAGGAGGCAGAGTTATAGCCTTGTGTTCCTGAATGGTGGCTACTGAATGTAGCCTGTATGCAAACAGGTGAGTAACCTTACTGATCTCTTGGATGCAGAAAGAAAATAAATAGAAGATACGAAAAATATGCTAAATTAATTTGAAAAAAATGTAAACAGGAATATGCTGCTGTGCCCTGTTCAATTCAGCTTTTGCATAGAAGGAGAATTGGCAGCACTCACACAGGAACCAAAGCAACATTGTACTAGGTGCTGAACAGACAGGGTCCAGTTAAACAGCATCCGCAGTTGAAGCCAGTGAAGGTTGAATGGTTACACTCTAAGGCCAGATTTGACCAGATACATTATCAGTGTGGACAGTTTTAATACAGTGAGTTATATGACTAGACTGGTTAATAATTTAATACAATATTTTTTTGCTCTGCTGTTACAGTTTTGCAAATTCTTAGGAAGAATTTGACCCATTGCATTTTTAGACTGCTAAACATCCATGATGGAACAATTCAGCATCAACAGGGACATGATCAAGATTTTTGTCCCAATTTTAAGCTCTGTGATTCTTGCAGGCTAAGACTCAGGGAATCCAATTCTATCGTATCCAAGATTTTCTGGACTATGACATGGGAATATCATTCAGTATCTCAGTGCCTCAGTCTCCCAATTGTGAAATTTGGTAGACACCTCTGAAGGTGCAAGAAGACTGAAATCAATCTGTAGGTCAAGTCTATTGAAATCCTTGGGAAAAGGAGGTATAGAAATGCACTAAATTCACACACACACATACCCCCTCTGAAAAATGTGATTTCAGTCACATTGTACTCAGTATCCAAATTTACGTTTGTTCGCATTACAAAATAAATCCAAGCTTGAGGGATATGTTGACTGGCAAGCAATGTATGTAAGCTACCTGACCTCAATCTATTTATCCCATATCAGAGGTATTAATTCCTTACTGAAATGAATAATGGCTTTATTCCAGATGTAAATATAATCCAAATGCTGGCCTTTTTCATATATTTAAGGGGATGATAATCTCAACATTTCCTTCCTGAGTTATGAATCATGAAGGCAGTGCTCAAAAACACTTTAAATCTAGATTGTACTCATGATCTAGATACCTTGAATATGGATGACACAAAACTCAACATCAGTGTTGCAGGGTTTGGAGGGCTTTCAGAGCCAGGTGATCCCATCATTCCTAGGCTGCAAATTCACCCAAGCTCTGCCTTCAAACATGAGTTATACTTGACTGCTGTTTCTCAAAGAATAAGTTTTTGGCAAATAGCTCAGCTTTTCTATGGCTGGGGTCATGTCCTGTGAACATAATAAAGAGAAATGGTCAATTTTCTAAATTGCTTGTTGTTTTTTTCCAGGAATTGTCTTTATTCCAGGAACATCCCAATTAACAGCCAAAGAAATCTTATACTGACTCCAGGCTTCGAAGGCCAAGTGCATCATTACCAATGATACACTGGCACCTGCAGTGGAATCTGTCATGCCTAACTGCCAGTTTCTGAAAAGTAAACTAATTGTAGCCAAAGGGAGCAGAGATGGGTGGCTGAACCTCAAAGAACTCTTGCGTGAGTATCCAGCTGTTTTACCATCATACCTGTGAGGTGAAGGAAGCT